CCATACGTGAGTTGATTGACTGGCGTAACGATGAAGGTTATGACAAGAATTCTCTCAGAGATGATTTACACGCTAGCAACTAATGCTTGCACACATCCAGAAAATGGAGACCACGTTTTACAAAGAGGTAAACTAAATCATATCAGATTACTGAGGAGCGAGAGGCCAAGAATAGGATTAGAGACGGGTGACTTAAATCTTACTGACGTTTCCCTTCCAAAATTCAGTCCTGAATCCCCCGCCCTCCACAGACTTTCAGGGGGAGGACTCCTCAAATACATTTGCAGTCGGGGCCTCTTGTCTGAGCTTGAGTCCTGACCTTTCACTTTCTGTTGAGTATCTCTAATTTCCAGAAACAACCCCCCTATCAGATCCCCCTTTGGACTTCCTCGTTTATTTCTCTACTTGAGTCTCTCTTAACGGCCTAAAATCTTGGACTCATACCAGACTCCTCCTTCTGGTCTAGTCTCTGTGCCCTTTTTAATCTAATCAGCAGCAAATTCTTGCTAGATCATTTCTTTTCATCTACCCCCTCGCTGTATTTCTAATGCAGACCTTTATCTCTCTCATACCTATACTATCACACCGGCCTCCTAACTTCATGGCTCCAGACAGTCCTGGGCTCTTTCCCACCAGATTCGTTTGGGAGCCTTGCACGTTTGTTTCTTTGCACAAGCAGGCCTTGCCCTGCAGGACAATTCTGGGGTAGCATCGGCGCTCCTTTCTACCCCATCCCATTTCTTTTTTTTAGTAGAATTTTTTTTTAAGATTTTATTTATTTATTTGACAGAGAGAGAGAGAGAGATCACAAGTAGGCAGAGAGGCAGGCAGAGAAAGGGGGGGAAGTAGGCTCCCCGCTGAGCAGAGAGCCCGATGCAGGGCTCCATCACAGGACCCCAGGATCATGACCTGAGCTGAAGGCAGAGGCTTTAACCCACTGAGCCACCCAGGCAACCCCCATCCTGTTTCTTTGATTATCATTTTCCTCATGTGTACTTCTTTGATGGGACCCCCCCTACCCACCCCTACCCACCCCCCCTACAAGGCAGCCCCTGTTCTCTCTAAAAACTCCCTTACTTTACTGAGAACTCAGAAAGTTCTTCCTCTAACACTAAGGAAGTGTAAGGGTAATGTTTCGTCCTGCACCTTGCTTTTTTCACTTAAGTATCCTGGACATCTTGTTTTTGTTGTTGTTGTTTTTTTTTAAATCAGCACATATATGTTTTCTAATGCTCTTTATTTACTTGTAGGTAGGCTCCATGCCAATGCATGGGACTTGAACTCATGACTCTAAGACTGATAGTCCACACTCCACCTCCCGAGTCAGCCTTTTAAATGCCTACTGAGTATGGGTGTTTGGTAACTCATTTAATCAGTCCCCTAATCATGGACACTGATGGCTTCCCCAGTTTCGTTATCGTCAAACATGCTGCAATGAACATCTTTGCTTATCTTGAGCCAAAAAGCTTCGTAGGTAAAATTGCAGTACTGGGATTGCTGGAATAAAAGCATATATATTTTCTTTTCTTTTTTTTTTTTTTTAAAGATAGCATTCTTTTTTTTTTTTTTTAAGATTTTACTTATTTGACAGAGTGAGACACAGCAAAAGTGGGAACAGAAGCAGGGGGAGTGGGAGAGGGAGAAGAGGGCTCCCCGCTGAGCAGAGAGTCTGATGTGGGGCTTGATCCCAGGACCCCGGGATCATGACCTGAGCCGAAGGCTTTAACAACGGAGCCACACAGGCACCCCACATATATATTTTCAATTTGGGTTGATGTAAGTAATTATCTTTTGAAATAATTTGCACCCTCTATACTTCCATTTTACGTATCACTAATTTACCTCCCCCACCCCCCGCAGTATTCAGACATTGACAGTGGGGCTTTTGCTTAAAGCCAGTTTCATCCCCTTAGACTATTAGTACCAGAAAGAATGTAAAGCTAGGAGAAAAGGGAAATGAATTCCAGAGAACAGACCCTTCAGTGGCTAGGGCAGGGCTCCTTCAGCTGGGAAATCAGCCATCCAGGGCAGCAGACCACACCGTCTTTCTTTGCCAATAATCAACTAGAGCTAAATGAAATCTAAATGTATCCATTTACCAAATAGGGATAATCTTTACACTTCTATTATTTTTATGGATGTGAATATCGATCAGATAAAATTTCATTGTCTTAACCACTAGGAATTCTCTGGAAAGATGGTGCTGCGTAAGTGCGTGAACTCAGAACAGTAGAGTTCAAACCCGATCAAGACGCAGAATCTGTAAAGCAGTGACTGGCTTGTCATCTTAACTGCTTTTGTGTGGCCAAATGTTTCCTGTGCCAACCAGTGGGAGAGAAGAAGCGAGCTTGTCTCTTCATGGCTTTAGAGTTTTGTTTATCTGTTCAGCATCCCTTTTTGAAGTTCTAGGATTTATGGAACAATAAATGCCATTTACTGCTGTGTGTGCTATGTTGGACCCCCCATCGGTGTTAGGAGTTTGGGTAAAAGTATCTGAAAGCTTATCAACTTTGAAATTGTACCAAGAAGTATTTTGCAGTAATTCAACCCAATGAAACAAATTAAATTATGGCAACAGCAAAGTTAGTGTTTGCTTGTTTGTTTGTTTGTTTGTTTGTTTTAATAGTAGGACACAGACATTTTCATATGTTTTCTAATGGGTGGGTGGGCAGCCTGGAAGGAGGCCTGAAACCAGGATGGTTTGGCTACGTTGCAGAATGATGGGGCTTTTGTTTTGTTTTTAAATTTTATTTATTTATTTATTTATTTGAAAGAGAGAGAGAGAGGGAGTGAGAGAGAGAGCACAAGCCCGGGAAGTGGCAGAGGGAGAGGGAGAGGGACAAGCAGACTCCCCACTGAGCAGGGCTGGATCCCAGTACTTTGGGATCATGACCTGAACCCAAGGTAGCCGCTTAACCAACTGAGTCCCCCAGGCGTCCCTGAATGATGTTATTAGTTCACTGTGATCTAAATTTTGGCCATGCAAGTGAGCCTGTTTAAAGCAGTTCAAAACAAACCTTCACCTTCTCACCTTACTGGTGTGAGAGATTAGTTTTTTTTCACAGCATTCAGTAGTCCAACTTTAAGATTACCCTAGAATGTCATATGTCACATCTCCCTGGGAACTGGAGACGGTTGCCTTGTGTGATTACCTCTTGATGAATGGGGCAGAACAAGGGACCAGGAGATGGAGAATGCTCTTTGCTAAGGGCAAGCTTAGCTGGGGGGGTGGAGGGGAGTCGAAGACCCAGAGGACAAAGTAAGTGAATTCCTTGGGTGAGTCCCTTCCCCACCTCCTGCTCCCTCTGGTTTGTTCCTCCGCAGGACTGAACTCCCCAGAGTTTCTGGTTGAAGTTTCTGCCTTGGAGCAGACTACTCTGGTGCAAATACAACTTCTAAGACTCTCACCCAAGAAGGCAAGTCCCGTCCCTGCCACGAAGCTGTTCCAAGCCAAGCCCTCCCCACGCCAGCTTTGAGAATGACCGCAGATGCCCTGATGGCCTGGGTATCAAATGCGGGTCTGTGAATCCAGGCAGAGAAACGACTTTGTTCCAAACCCTCTGAAAGCCCCTATGCAACGCTGTGTCCTGCACAAGGTGGGGAAGTCATTATGCATTAGCCGGCAAGATTAAGCGAATTCACACCAAAAGGTGAATGGCTGAGCTGGGGAGATTCCGCTGTTAGTAACCCAGAAGAATATGGATGGGGGACGGTGTAGACAAGGCTGGAGAGGGGTTTTGGGACTGGGAGGCGCCCTCCCAGACAAGGGGCTGGGGGCACTGAAGGGTCTGCGTCCAGCACTGCCAGTCCTCCTGCTCAGGGCACTGTCCTACCCGGAGCCCAACGTTCCAGCCCCTCCTCAGTGCCCACCAGGAAGCACTTGGGGATGAATAAAGAAATGCTTGTGGACTAAGGGAAGATCCACATCCATTTAAGACGCAGTCCAGGTTCTAGGAAAGCCTGGCCTCTGGGCCACAGAGGGGTCCCTCCAGCGTGGTCGCCCACACCTTCTTGGCCACAGCGGGGATCGGGGTGGGGGAACTTCCCGCGGCGGGCGCTGGGCGGAAGGGACTGGTTTCAGGATTAGTCCACGTCCAGCTGTCCTAAACCCCTACAACGGAGGCCAGCGGCAGAAGGTCCCCGGTGGCTGGCCTGGGCCCCCCCGGGGGGAGCGGCCAGACCGGGCTGGAGGCTCGGGTGCCTTCTAGTCCGTCGCCCGCGTGGCGGGCGGAGCTAGGGTGGAGGGGGAGCAGTAGCTGCCCAGGGTCAGGATGGAGTTTCCTCCGCAGGCGACTGGGGCAGGCGTGTCTCCGCGCTCTGGGACCGCTGGACCCGCCTTCGCTTTCCGCCGCGAGGCCCGTGGCCTCTGGGCTGAGGTCATGGAGGGCCGGGCGCTCTGCAGAGGCCCCGGGGGCGACACCGCCCTGGACACGCCACGGACACGCTTCTAAGCGCTTTCCGTGCTTTTCACACTTTCCCACCGCTCCGAACCGCCCTCGGGTTCCCAAGTAGCCCAGGGCGCGGCTTGGGGGAGCCTTTGTGCCCTCGCTGTTTGCTGGGACTTTTTCTTCCGAAGAGAGAGCTTCCCCCACCCCTTTCCTCTCGAAAGTCTTGTGGTTTCCCTAGAAGTCGGCAAGAAGTTGGGAAGGTTGCGGAGCGCTCTCTAGCTCCTTCCCGTCCCGAAACTCTAAAAACCCGAGGCTTTCGGCCGCAGGGAGCTATTTGGGGTCAAGGGGAGTGAGCCAACGGTGCATTCCTTCGCCCTCCTCCCACCCACCTGGTCCCACAGCTCCCCTCCTCCGCCCCCGCCCCGGGCCGGGGCTCCCGCTCGGCTCTGCGCCCTTGCTCAGGCGGCGGGCCCCGGGAGCGGCAGGGTTAAGCCCTGGAATGTGGCGGCGAGGAATGTGCATGCAGATGAGCCCAGCGAGGGGAGGGGCGGGCGGGGGCGGGCCCGGGGCGGGGCGCATGCTAATCGCACGCAAATGAGGAGGCCCGTCGCCGCCGCGGCCGCCGCTCCGCCGAGCTTCCCGGATCCGAGCCCAGACGGCGGCGGCTCGGGCAGCCTGGGCGCCGCGACCCTCGGCGGCCACAGGGGGACTGGGAGGAGGAGGAGGAAGAGGCGGAGGCAGCGGCTGTAGCCGCGAGGAGGAGGAGGAGGAGGTGGAGGAGGGTTCGCTCGCCAGCTCCGACGCAGACATGGTGGACTGATCCCCGGCGGGGCCGAGAGCAGGGTTTCCTGAGGCGCCCCCCGCGCGTGGCCCCGCCGCGCCCCGCGCCCCGCAGCCCCTCGCCGGCGCCCGCGTCGGGTGCGGCGGCCGGGCCGGGCAGTCGCGTTCCCGCCGCGTCCCGCGCCCGGTCCCTATGGAGGCGCCGCTCGCCGGCGAGGCCGCCGACCATGCCTAGGAGGGCCGGGAGCGGGCAGCTGCCGCTACCCCGGGGCTGGGAGGAGGCCAGGGACTACGACGGCAAGGTCTTCTACATCGACCACAACACCAGGAGGACCAGCTGGATCGACCCCCGGGACAGGTGGGCGGCCGGGCCGCGGGTGGGCGCGGGGACCCGCCTCAGAAGCGCGGCGGCGGCTGTTGTCCGGGAGATTCGGCCGATCGGCGGCGCCCGCGGCGCGGGGGGCGTGGGGCGTGGGGCGTCGCCGACCCCGGGGTGCCGGGAGGGGTCTCGGGAAGGAGGTTTGGGACCATCAGCCGGTGAGGAGCCCCGGAGGGGCTCGGTTGGAGCCGCCCCTTCCAGGGCCTCTTTGCCCGCTGCCTTCCCGACGCCCCCTGGGACCTTCAGACACTCCCGGCCCGGAGGGAAGGGTGGAATTGGCGCCCCGGGCTGGCACTTCGTGCCCCGTTAACGGACCCCGAGGAGCCACCTGAGCCCTGCCGCGAGCTCGTCTCCGCCTAAAGTGGGCCAAACTGGAGCTGGCGGGTTGCTTCGGCCTTTGGGAGGCGGGGACGGGCCGGGAGCCTCCCGGAGAAGGCCTAAGTGTAAGGTGGGGAACCAGCCGACCCCGGCCACCTGTGGCATCTCTCTCTCTCTCTGATCGTCCTTGGGTGCCAGCCTTGACTACAAGTTCTTGACGGGGCGCGCCCCGGGTCAGGCGGGAGGTCCTGGGCATGGAGCGGGGTTCCAGGCACCCTTCCTCGCTGGGCCTTAGCTGTGGATGTTGTTAGATTTGCCCCTCAGGGTTTAGAAACACTTTTCTTGGGCGGGAGGTGGGGGGAAGGTTTGGTTTACTGCTTATTGTAAGTCTTCACCTGAAAACTTGAACTGAGTCCTAGATCTTGGAAAGGCAAATTCTGTTTTGAAGAAAGAAGTGCAGTGAGCGTGGAAACAGACATGAGCTTAGCATGGTTTCTTGGAGTTTTCAACACACACTTTCTAGTCCTGCTCGGAGATCAAGTCATCATTTAAGAAGTCGAGGGGCTGAATTTTCCTGAATGTTCACAAATGTTGGTCCTCTATCCCATCGGTCTCGTTACCCTTAAAAGGAAAACTTCTGAAAGTTGGACTTATTGTAAGAATAATAGGAGATATTCCTAATTGTAAATTTGTAAAGTGGCCGTTAAGGAGGTGTTCCTAATTGTAAATTAGGGGTTTACAACCTTGTAGGTGCTTCTTTTACCCCTTTTCTTAATTTGAAGTTGAAATAGTTTTGTACTTTGTGTTCTCAGTTAACTTTCATCTTAAGAATATTGTTTTTTGAAAGCTATTAAAGAGTAATTCTAAGAAAGTCATAAATGACATTATAAATTTATGGAACAATCCTTATTAAATTATCCATGAAGGTATCAGTTTAGGTTTCCTTTTTGAAATGAGAAAAGGCACCTGTGCTGAGGTTCTCTCACCACAGCCTGGCTGCCTGTTGCTGGCCTGATGAAAGTTATCACAAGCATCACACCTTCACAGTTTCTCCAGACACATTACTTGTTGTCATAAACTTCACGCTCCGGGTCAGTTATTTGACTTATGCCCTTGCACTTGAAACTGTTTAACAGATACTAAATGTCAGTGATGATGGTGTGCACCCAGCAGTGACTTCTAAGGCACCTGTATAAATATTTGACTTTTACAGTTATGTGGTAATTCTGCTCTCTCATACTTGGAGTTTCAGGTTCTTGAAATTGTGGTGAATTCTTGAAATTTTTAGGCATTTCAGATTCTCTTCATTTTGCATGTTCAATTATATCATCTCATTTGTATTTACCAACAAGGATTATAAGAATATGTAATGCCTGGGTAAAGCAAATAGAAAGTGAGATAGGACTTGGCTTGTCCATATCACTACTAATTAAACAAGTTAAGCATGCCTTTTATTTTAAACTGTTAATGGATTAACAATTATCATGAACTCTGTTTTCAGGAAACTGGGTAACCAATTCATTTATTTGGATAAACAGTTTTGACTAAGATGACTTGTTATTATTCCAGTTTTCTTTTGAAGCAGTTAGATCTTTAAGTATTTGGAAATAGAAATTCGGTTATACGCATTTCTGGATCTCACTATGAGTTTTAAAAAATTCTGTGAGATCCAGGGTCATTGCTGACATACTTAGTTTAAATTTGATTGTGTTTTCTTCCAGGGCAGTAAAGTGATTATAAGTCTTGCTAAATTATGTGAGAGGATATTTGGAGCAATTATGAACTCTAGTCAATTTTGTTAGACACTTACCAACCATATGGAAAAAGAGTATGTTACACAGGCCAGTTGGAGTGTGCCCATTCTTCTACAGGATCAAGTTACAAATCCTGGAGGAAAAGTGTCTTGATAAACTTGATATAAGTACTGAATGCAGTACTTTTGAACTTTTAACTCAATTAATTAAAATGGTCATGATGATTTCCCCATTATGTTAAGAAAAATCCTGGAAGTCTATCAGAATTGGTGGAGTATTTCTGACTATATAGATATACACACAGTTTTAGTGGCAGGGTGAGGGAAGGCTGGAGGCTTTTACAAGAACATAATTTTGTTCAATAAGTAGTGGTTTTAGAAGTGTTAACCTATTTCTGAGCTTTTGGAGGTAGATGAAATAATGCAAAGTTCGCTGGGACGTGATTAAAGCTTTTCTCACCCCACCACTTGTTAACTGAGTAAGCTTTTCTGAGTTTTTGAGTCCCTCTAAACCTTCATTTTCAACTCTGAGATAAAGCTAATACCACGTACTTCATAGGGATGGTTAGGGGTCCACAATGAGGGCTGAGCCAAATAGTAGTGGTGATGGTGTCATTCCACTGCAGGAACTGAGAGGTAGTTCGGGTGACCCTTGGAAGTGGTGGACGTACTGGCACCTCTTTATGTGGTGTTTACCGTGTGGCAGTCATTGGGCTAATAAGCTTCTTACCCGTAATCTCATTCTCTTCTCTCATTAGTCTTCTGACTTGGTGCTATTATTATCTTCCAGTTACAGATGAGGAAATGGAGTCACAGAGACATTGCCATTGCTGTTAAAAGTTGGCCAAGATTTGAAGTCAGATAGTTTGACTCTAGACTCCTATGTCATTCCTGGAGCTGGAACACCTGGACATGCTCAGGGGTATTTGGATGGAGTAGAACCTCTTTGCCTGGTGTTGATTTTTCAAGCCGATTGACCGGTCTTTATTGGTCTTCAAAGGTTCCTGTTAACTTTTTGTGATTCTTAGATCCCGCAGTTAGCCACACGTAGGGTCTGGGTCTTGAATGCCTTGGGAGTAGGGATGGAGGCCCACCAGGTTTACCCCACAGAACAACAGCGCAGGGCCAGGTAGAACTTGGAAATACAGTGTACTTTTGGGCACATTGGAAGTTCTCTTTGGAGAAGAGTTAAGGGCTCTGTCTCGTTCCTGAGTAGATTACAATTTTACTATGATGGGCTCGACTTTGCCCTCCTCCTCCCCGCTTACCAGTTCTGAGGACATCTCCCCGTCTATGATTCCTTGCCTCCCATTCCCCCCGACCCGGGTGGGTTAATTGTTATTCTGGGGGTCCGCTCCCTCCCTCACCTCTTCCTTTGCCCACCATGGACAGCCTTTGACCACACCAGCTGGCATTTATGGTGGCCCATAGATCATGGCCAAATGGTGTGGTGCTTAAAAAACACCCCCTCCATTCAACATAGGACAAAAAGGTGGGTTTGGATTCATTGCCTCAGGAATAAGGGGCTAAGGTGGGCAGGCCTCAGAGCCTGGGTGAGTAGTTGTACAAATTCTCAGTAGAATTTTGCTCATTTTCTGTCCCTGAATTGAATGTTATCCTGAGATTACAATAATTTTGTCTAGGTGAATGTAAAAGATTTACCACCACACAAAAACTTGCCGATAGACCTAATCTTTGGTTTATGGCTAGCATTAGATATTGAGTGACCCGTGTGCTTTCTGATTGAAGGGCAGACGTTCTGGGGGTGGGGTGGGGACGGTGACAGGAGGAAGAGGATGTTAGTTGGCTATCCTTGATGGCTGAGCTAACTCTTGGCTCTTTTTATGGCACGTGATTAGGATCTGAGGATCTCTGTATTGTCTTTCCTTCAAAGTCAAAGCAAGTAATTTTGCTAAACCTACTGCTAGAGTGTAAATTCCTCAAGAGAACTAATTGCTTATTACTGCTTTCTGTGTCCTTTGTAGATAGTAGATGTTAAGTGAATGTCGGTTAGGTCCATTAATGAAGAAAGTTGTTAAATTAATGAAAGAATGCTTGTTGAGCTACTCTCTTCCATTTCCTTATTGTTAAGGCTTTGGAAAAATATGCCCATAACCACCACCAACCAGAGACAATTGATTTTCCAGTTAAATTAAAAATAATGAGAGAATTAAGCTGCTACATTTTGACTAATAGTATAAAGATGGGAATTATATGAGAGCAAAGAAAACAAAAGTCAGCCCTCATAGTCTTAATCACAACTGTCATTGTCATAGTTTGCCGGAAATCCTTTCCTCTCCTGCCGGCTGAGTTTGGGTGCCAAGTGGTTATTTACTGTGAATTATTTGAGTGATTACGGTTTTTGAGGTATGGAGAGATTGCTAAAGAAAGGGTTTTTTTGTTTTGTTTTGTTTTTTAAATCACTCTGGGAAGCACTAATTTAAACTCAACTGTGCTGTCTTCCAAAAAATTCCCAAAGAAGTATTTCATGTTTTCAACACAGTTTGCTGTAGTGTTTGCAGGAGGGAGCAAAGGTTGCTTAGTATATGACTGAGATTTCTTCCATGACTTTAATAGTCCTTAGTTAGCAGTGTAATTTGTTGGAAGACTTAGGGCACCACTTGCTTTTTTAGGAAAGACTATTATTTATAAATAAAGAATTTTTTTTTTTTTTATAGCTGCAAATCACTGAATTGCGAGTTACCTAGTCAACACTTATGGCTGTGGCCTTGCAGCAAGCTAGTATTTAAGTCTCCTGTAGGGAAGCTGCAGTGCGCTGGGAAGTGCCTGAGGAGATCTGACTGTGGGACTGGGAGACATTGCCTTGTAAATGGCACTGGCTTGCTTTTCTTGAGGAAATGGTCAGTGGGAGAAAGATGCTGCCATGAAAGAGGGGCGTGGCCAGCTT